ATTCAAATTTCTCATTTTCAAGTTCTTTACCATGGTCAGTTTTAATATTAGTAATAAGAAAGCCTTTTTCATTTTGAATTCTACGACAGAGTTTTGTGAAAGAAGAAAAAGGTTTATCTTTGTGTACTAAAAACATAACCAATGTAAATCTTGAATTATCATCAACAATAACAAGACAATAACGTTTACCACCTAGACTAGATATCCTTGAGGGGCCAAATAAATCCATATGCAATAGTTGTAAAGGTCTAGTTGTGGAAATATGAGATTTTGATTTAAATGATGTTTTAGTTTGTTTTCCTTGTTGACAAACATTATAAAGATGATCTTTTTCAAATTTAATTTTTAGAAGTCCAATGACCAAATCCTTTCTCAAAAGTTAATCAGTTAAATCCATATGAGCATGACCAAGTCTTCTATGCCATAACCAACTATTTTCATTATTAACATATAAACATTTAATATCACTAGTATAGAGATCATTAAGATGAAAAACATAAATATTATCATGGCGATTACCAACGAATAAAGCTTTATGATCATTTGTGCTTTCAATTGTGTAATGTGATTTATCAAAAATAACTCGATTCCCTTTATCACATAATTGACTAATACTAAGTAGGTTATGCTTAAGTCCATCAACAAGTAAAACATTTTCAATAGAAGGGTTAGGAAAAATACCGATGCTACCAATACCGATGATTTTTCCTTTCTTGTTGTCTCCAAAAGTAACAAATCCTCCATCTTTCGATGATAATTTAGTAAAGAATGATTTATCTCCAGTCATGTGTCTGGAACATCCACTATCACGGTACCACTTTCCTTCTTTAGCTTTGGACTTAAAGCAAACCTCATTTTGAGTAGAATCTTCATCTTCAAGAGTCATGAGACATAAGTTGGCTACTTCATTTTCAATTTCATCACTTGAGTTTTCATCTTCACTTTCTCCCCAAGTTGCTACCATGGCCTTTTTGTTTCTTTTGTAGTCTTTTCCATGATTCTTCAATTTTGGACAATCTATCTTCATATGTCCAGGATTTTTGCACTCATAGCAAATAATAGGCTCTTTCTTGTTATCTTTGTTGTACTCTTTCTTGAAAGGTCTTCTTCCTCCATAATTGTTTTTCTTGAAGTGCTTTTTGAGATTTCTACTAAACATGGCATAGCTTTCATCTTCATTGGAGTTTTCATGTTCTTCTTCATTTGATAAGGTTTTGAATGCAATTCCACTTCTCTTTTTGTTTTCAACATCCTCATGTCCTTTCATGGTGATCTCATGAGTTATAAGGGAACCCATAAGCGCATCCAATCCAAGTGTGGAGAGATCTTTGGCTTCTATAATGACAATGACCTTTGCTTCCCAATTCTTTGGTAAACACCTAAGAATTTTTCTTACCAACTCACTGTTAGTATAAGTTTTGCCAAGAGATTTCAAAGAGTTTATAATTTCAGTAAATCTAGTAAACATACTTGAAATAGATTCATCAGAGTTCATTTTAAACAATTCATAACTATGAACAAGTATATCAATATGAGATTCCTTTACTTAGTTTGTACCTTCATACGTTACCTCAAGTTTGTCCCAAATTTATTTTGCCGAATCACAACTTGAAATTCTATTATACTCCTTAGAGTCTAATCCACAAACAAGGGTGAGTTTGGCTTTAGCATTGGCTTGCAATAATTTATGATCTCCCTCATCACATTTATTTTCAGTTTTAGGTACACTAATATTGTCAATTAATTTGGTAGGAGTTTTTGGACCTTTGGTGACAATAATCCACATGGCATAATCAGTGGCTTGTAGGTATATAGTCATCTTATCCTTCCAATGACTATAGTTGTTTCCGTCAACAGTGGTGGCCTATTTGTGGCTTGTCCTTCAGCTAAAGTTGCCATGGATCGAAACTTCTAGATGGTTAAATCTAAAACAAGAGTTTAGTCTCTGATACCAATTGTTACCCAAAAGACAACCTAAAAGGGGGGGTGAATTAGGTTTTTACAATTAAAAAATAATAATATCCTAATAAAAATTATGACTAGCACAGTAGATAAATATAGTTAATGAAATAAAAATAATTAAAACAAGTGTTCTAACAACTATGTCAGTTAATGATTTTAGCACAGTGAAAATGTGAAATATAGCTACAATAATTTAAATAAAATAAAGAGATAAGGGAGAGAGAGGCAAACAAATTTATAATGGTTCGACTTCAACTCGGCCTACGTCCACTCCTCAAGCTTCACTTAAGATTTTTCACTATGCTCTAGTTTCACGGGGGTGCTAGTTACAAATGGAGCAATCCTCCATAGATTTTACACAGACTTTCTAAGTCAAGAACACTGAGTGTACTACACTCTTACAAGGTTGAAAAGAAGGTGTTTTTACTTTCACAGAAAGCTACAAGAATTATCTCTCAAATATAGATATAAAAATGAAGCTTTGGTTTTTCTGTAAACCTCACACAAGAAAGATGAGCTTAAAGTTATAAGGCTCAGTTTATAATTTCTGAAAAAGGATGTAAACAAAATTTGAAGAATACTTCTCAGAGAATTTTTCAGAGAATAGATGTGAGTGATTATAGATCAAAGAATATTTTTAGATTTTTTTTGTAACTTGTTTTACATTAGAGGCTTTGGTATATATAATGAAAAATATAACCGTTTATAGCCGTTGTAGTCATCATTACTAATTTGAATATCTTCCACTTGAATCTTTTGAACTATTCATTTGAATTTATAACCGTTGTAACTCCATCATTACTAATTTGAATATCTTCCACTTGAATCTTTTGAACCTATTGTTTTGTGCTATTTGAACTCTTGATTTAATCAAATATTAAATACATTCTAACAAGATTTAGGATAAAGATTTAGGTGAGAAATGATGGGACAAAATAAATTTTGATTCTTTTTTTCTCTTTCAAATAAATTAAAACATAATTAAATAAATCATCAAAATAAATTTTGAATTCTATTAAAACATAATTAAATAAATCATCAAAATAAATTTTAGATTCTATTTTTCTCTTTCAAATAAATTAAAACATAATTAAATAAATCATCAAAATAAATAAGTCTAACACAAGTTTTAATTTGGTCATTCTATCTAAATTTTCATTAGTTTTTTTACATATAAAAGTGTATCGAAATAATTAATTTTAACATTCAACTTAAACAAAAGAAAATTAAAATTGAACTTAAAATTTAGGGACTAAATTGTTTAAATTAAAATATTAAAACTTAAAGAGAATTCTTTTATCAAACTATAAGGATGAAAAGTGTAATTTACCGTTAATATACCAGTGCAATCTCTACTACCGCCATCGCCACTGTCACCGTTTTATGTTCCAGTCCACATCCATCAACCACATAAACTAAGTGTTTATTCCTCTCGTTTTCCCTATCTTTCTCAAATCATTGCGCCCACCAGCTGCCACACAGGCAAAATTGGAGCTTCAAACTTAGCTTTGAATGATATCTTCATGAACAGAGACTCTCGCCATTGAAAATAGGAACAACATTTAGGTGTTTTTTCTTCTCTTTTTTAAAATTGGTTTGTGGGTTTGTGACTGTTACTAATTTTTTTTAAAGTTTTGGGTTGAGTCAGTGAACTTTAGATGTTTGATTAAAGTACTCAAAGAAATGTTAGTTTACCTGTTGCTCAGAGTGCTAAACAGGCCATTGAAACATGTGAATCCATTGCATTATGTAAGGCTATTATGATGACATATGTACATATGTCATTTGAGATTCTTTTGTTGCTAAAAATAGAGGGAATTCTGAATCTTTATACAATTGTATGAATGAGGAAAATCAAACCATTAACTTTTATATACAAACAGATGAGTAATAAGGTTGTTGAATTCTTTGTGCACAATGTGGTTTAGATTATTTAATTGTTAAGTATTTTAGTGCCCATATAGCGCTGTGAAATTGCAAACTGTTAAGAATAAAATTCCCTTTCTCTTGATTTTATTTTCTTAGCTTTCAAAATCTTGATTGGGATCATAAAATAATATGAAATGTGTGTTTATCTCTGAAAGATTCAAAGACTAATTTACAATGTTCCAAGACTATGAAATGTGTGTCATAAATCATAATCCAAAGCAATGATTTCCATAGGATAAATTTCCAAATAGCAAAATTACCTATGAAAAATAAAGTAAGAAAAATATTTAGAATTTAAAATGTGTATGTATTAAGGCCATGTTTATTGGAACAAACTAGATTAGATAGGATTAACATTATTAATCCCTTTCTCCACACATTATCAATTTCAGCAACAAAATTTCAACACACACTAACATTTCAACGCACACTAAATTTCAGCAACAAGCCATTTACATTAACAATTTCAGCAACTTTTTCAGGAACATGAACAACAACTTTTGGCACAACAACAGTAAACAAAATGTGGAACATTTTCAGTATAAATACAAGCCATAACACACACATTTCAGCCTAATTTCAGCACATTTTATGACAGTGTTTGATTTGGAATGAATGCAACTGATGCATTGCTTAACATGAACCTAAACAGCATATCTATCTCAAGATATGCATTTGCATATCTATCTCAGATCTTATTTTTTGAATGGAAGGGTGCATCAGAAGTCACGAAGTGCACCAAAATCTTTTTTTGTTTTTTAATGAACCTAGCTGTATATTATTTTTCGGTAATAATACGTCCTATTAAAAGTGATGCTCTAAAGCACCACTACTGAGTTGGCAAGCATTTTAAATAGGAAAAAAAAAAAAAAAAAACAAGACACAAGCAGTGAACCCCGTCTACTGCCACATCACTAGTGATACTTTTAGAGCACCACTTTTAGCGGTCTCAGGCATTATTTGATTATTTTTTATAGTAGTAGACTTTTATGGACAATGTATATTGTGGATTGACAGTGTGCACCAAAATCTTATAAGTGAAATGTGCCAAATTCACAGGGATGGTTTCACACCAAATTCACATCAACATTAATATATTCACACCAAAATTTCAATTTCAACCTCCATCATAATCTATTCAATTTCATAGCAAGTTTCAACCTCCAACATTAATCTATTCACACCAAATTCAACCTCATACATGTTCACACACAAAACAAGAACAAAATCAACTTCATACATGTTTACAACAATTTCAACAACATAAAAAAAAAAACAACATTTCAGCAACAGAGGGAAAGCAGTTTGAGCAACATTTCAGCAACAAAGGAACAGCACTTTGAGCAACATTTCAGCAACAGAGGGATAGCACTTTGAGCTACATTTCAGCAACAGAGGGAATGTCTGTAAAAAAAACATTTCAGCAACATGGATAAATTAAAAAAAAAGAATTGTCTTTACAAAGCTTCAAGAAAAAAAAAATGCAGAGACAAATTTCAATTTAAAAAATGAAAGACTAACCTGTGGAAAATGTCTGTAAATTTTATTTATTTATTTATTTTCAGTTTTCAACAGAGGAAGCCTCAATGAATTAAATCATAAACACACACACCATTAGCAGATTTGCAAAATCTAAAAAAAAATAAAGTCATTACATGGATAAATAAAATAAAAAAAAGGAATGTCTTTACACAGCTTCAAGACAAAAAATAAAAAAATAAAAAAGTTGCAGAGACAAATTTCAGTTTTAAAAATGAAGACTAACCTGTGGATGATTGATGTCGGACTGGTTTGCTCACAACGGAGCAATGGGTTCGCGATGTGAGGGCAAAGAGAATGAGGGGTCGGTCAGGTGGAGGAGAAGAGCGTGAGGGCTATAGTTTGCGAAGCAGACACCTCGATCGGTCGTCGTCGGGAGTGGGTAACTGTCGACTGTAGGTCGCTGATGGGATTGGGTTGCCGGTGAGGGTGCGTTCGGTGGAAGAGAAGTGGGTGAGTATGAGGCTGAGTGAGAGTGTATAACTGGTTGCTGTATAGCCTGTATAAGCTGTATAGCTTTTGGGCGGGAAATTGGCTGATTTCAATTTCATAATTTTTTTTTTTTTATAACCGTTGGATGTGTAACAGCTACTCTCAAAATGAAGAAATGAAGGAGGAGAGTTAAGGAGAGGATCCGGACTCTGAGTCAACATTTCAAAATTATTGAATAATTGTACTACAAGTTGACCTAAGATGACATTCCGTACTAAAAATGTTTGTTTTGCTAAAAACAATAAATAAAGAGTAATGCTAGACGCCTTAAAAATTCTATCAAAATTTTTATCAAATGTTTCACATAAGTGTGGGACATTGTATAGGTTCCACACCTATGTAAAATATTTGATAAAAATTTTGGTAGAATTTTTAAAATCTGGCATTTTTGATAAATAAATCTTAGTTCATTTAACAAATTAAATTTTCCAACAAAATATTTGTTTTAGCAGCTCTAAGAAGTCAATTAAAATGTAAAAAACAAAAAAGAAAAAGAATATATTGCATTAATTTTTTTAAAATATACTTTAACCAATAAATTATAGAGAACTCAAGTCATAAGTTTAATTTAAAAAATCTTGGAATAATAACCCCAAACTCTATTCTTTTAGGACAAAAGGACAATAATTTTAAATATTATATTATTTCTACCTATCTATCTATTATCCACTTATCTATCTCTATATTTGTTCATATATCACCTATCTGTCTTTCTAATTTGCATATCTCTATCTATATCACTACTATCAATAGTAGCTTCTAGTGTCGGTGAATTTTCTAACAACTGAGTTACAACGATCTAATGGAAGTATGGTAAAAATGAAGAAAAAAAAAATGTTCAAACAATAATGTGTCATTCTCACCCAATAATTTCATTAATCATGTGTTTATTATCAAAATAATTCTTGAAGCTAATCTCATACTTCTAACTAATTTTTTCCTAAATTATAACTCCGGCAAGGAAGCCAAAAAAATAAATGGGCCGTTGATGCAAAAGAAAATGGAAGAATAAAACTTTTAAGTCAAAGCATGTGATTAAATCATGGCCATTTCTTTCTTGATCTTTACATATATATGTTGATTGATTGTTGTTGCTGCTTCACGCCACGTCTAGTCTTTTTTGCCCCCAACAGTGGCTAATCAAGTTCGCATCATTATGATTTGGTTTATGGATTCATTCATAATTAACACTTAAGCAAATATATATAAATCTATCTATCCATATCTATTTTTTATACTACATATAAGGTTAACATCCCTTACGGTATGGCAAGTGTCCACTTTGCTTTTTTTAAAAAAAGAATAATAGGATCGAGATTTGAACATAGTGATAGTTGAAAGTACACTAATTATATATTTTATTTTATTTTTTTCTTATTTAAATTACACACGTATCACGTGTACCAAATCACTAATTATATATAAAGTAAATAATTCATTTGGTGGTGTTTTAAGTCTACTTTCTCAATTTACCATGTGAATGTTTATATACTCTATATAAAGTAAAGAATCCAACTTGTCTCAAGTTGAGATCAAGACTGGACCCGTCCAGTTCGGTTCATGGGTCATTTTTTGGGCTCGTTTTGATAATCTGAACCGTTCAATGTGTAGAACTCGTCGAGTACTGCATGTCTATAAAAAATCACGTTGATCGGATATCAATAGCTATATGATCAAATCGGTTTTGTATAAAAAAATGGGCGGTGAAAAAATTAACGGTTGATAAAAAACTGTTTGGTTCACATAGCTATCGATATCTGATCAACGTGATTTTTTACAAGCATATAGTACTTGACGAGTTCTACACATTGAACGGTTCGGATTATCAAAACGGAACCCGTGGTGAGCCCCCATAGGCCCAACAACACGGTCCAGTCCAATCTTGGACTGGACCAAAGCCACTGCCTAAAGTAAATAACTCACTTAGTGATATCCTGAAATTTGCTTTCTCCTTTTATCAGGTGAAAAAAAAAAATTTATATAGTGAAGTGAACAAGAGTTAAACCTAAGTCTTTAAGTCTAATAAACTAATAAATAACACCATTATCACTTGAGCAACATGCATTATATATATTTTTAATTCAAAATTAAAATTTTTATTTTACAAATTTAACAGTATTCTCATGAAATGGACACACCCTTAGTGTGTATATATATATATACACTAAGAGTCCTACACACACTGTGTAAGAATTAATTAGATTTAACAGTTACCCATTAAAACAGTTACATGGCGTTAGTTGGACATGGGGAGGGTGTTGTGACAGCACTGTGCTTTGATGCCCTATTCAAGATTCATCTCGATTCTATTTTAATGATCTGAACTATTCATATTATAAGTTTATCGCGTATGTCATCCATATAAAAAATTAGGTTATTCGGACATGCGTAATCCCACGTTCAAATTATAATTATTTTTTAAAAATTATCAAAATTATGCTAACTATTTATCTTTTGTAAACATAAATGTGATCTTATTATAAGTTACAAATGCCTAATTGACTAAATTTCTTCCATAAATTATCTATTCAATGAACTTTACAATAAAATAATTCGAATTAATGAAAGTAGTTCATATCAAATCATGTTTTTACTCAAATTTAGAATCAGATTAGATGGAAAAATTGGTGAAGGGTGGTTGGTGATGGTCTTAGGGTTTCTTGTTAATTTCAAATGGGGGTTTTGTTGTTTTGTCACTGCATGTTTGATTAAATCTTTATGATTATAGATATATATACAATCTGCAAAAGAGAAAGTACAAACCTTCCTGTTAATCAGATTTGGAAGGGTTCAGAATTGGTTGATGTGTTTGTTTATTGTAACACATTGATTGAAAACATCTTTATCCCAAACTTTCTCACTGACCTTGTTAACCAAAACCATTCAAAACCACTCTTCAATGCTCTAAGGTAGTGTTTGGTTCACTCAAATTGAGTGGATTGGAATGATTATTCCATCAAAATTTTCATTCCTATTGGTTTTTTGAATGACCTAAACTAAACTATTTGAGGCTGCAGATGAACCAAACAAAACAGAAAAGCATGTTTGATTAAATCTTTATGATTATAGATATATATACAATCTGCAAAAGAGAAAGTACAAACCTTCCTATTAATCAGATTTGGAAGGGTTCAGAATTGGTTGATGTGTTTGTTTATTGTAACACATTGATTGAAAACATCTTTATCCCAAACTTTCTCACTGACCTTGTTAACCAAAACCATTCAAAACCACTCTTCAATGCTCTAAGGTAGTGTTTGGTTCACTCAAATTGAGTGGATTGGAATGATTATTCCATCAAATTTTTCATTCCTATTGGTTTTTTGAATGACCTAAACTAAACTATTTGAGGCTGCAGATGAACCAAACAAAACAGAAAAGCTCTTTTTTTTTTCTTTTTTTTTTCTTTTTTGTTGTTGTGGTTTTAGTCTTCACAACATGTCATTCTACTTAATGCTCCATAATTTTTTCGAAGTTTTTCTATTTATTCCCCCGGGTGATGAAAACACATCATCTATGAACTGCTTTGCCCGTAGCTTCTTCACTTCCTAGACAAACACTGCCTTTGCTGGAACAGTTGAATCTATGCAGCTAGCATATAAAGTCAAGCGAAATCATATAAATCACAAGTAAAAACAAAATCATACAAGTTTCATCTTCAATTTTTTCTTTTTCTAAATATTTGATTTGTGGAAAAAAGTTTGTCTTCTCCTAAATCCATAGGAAAACTATACGGAAGTATCTAAAAACCGAACCTTGATTGATATGACAAAATGGCCTCCAGCCGTCAGGAAATGTGATCCATTCAAGGTGGTGTAGAGTATGGACGGGAGATGTACTGGAGTTGAAAAAATAACCCAATAATGATTCATTTCACTAAAAATATCACCATTAATAGCACTAATGCATTAAAAAAGTAAAATAAATAAATAAATAAATAAATACAACTCCAAGACCAAAACATCATATCATTAATGGCGGGACCCACTGCCACCTAATTAGTGGGAGCACTAATTAGTGCTCCAAGCATTTTTCAAAATAACCAATCAATCTTCTAAACCCCCATATTAATCACTGGGACAACAAACCATAAACATGGAGATCTTATGTGTTGGGTATACCTCCTTATTGGAGTGTGGGACCCAATTGGTTTGTTAAAGAATTTTAATTTGACTTAGTTTAGGTATAATATATTTTTATATATTATATTTGTGGAGACTCAATTCAATTTGGATACAATTAGGATTTTGGTAAAACAAATCTAAGATTTAACAATATATATATATTGTTCCAAAGTGCTATATACAGACATACGGTTTTCATACGTCTCGGTGACCATGCGTGTTGATCTTCAATTTGGTGCTTGGTCAGTGCTTTGGATTTGGTTTGTTGATGCTTTGCTATCTTTGATTCAAAGTTGATTTGGTTAATTATTTTGGATCTTCTACAACTCTGTTTCAGAAGGTTTTTGTTCATCTGTCTGGTGAGATCTTTCCTCTTGTTTATTTGTGATTATTTAGAATTCACCTAAGGGTGGTTTTGTGAGACCATTAGTGTCTCGTTTGTAATCGTTTGGAACTGTTTTTGGTTGATAGTGGAATCGGATTTCGATCCCGTGGACGTACCTTACATTAAGGGAACCACGTAAAAATTCTTGTGTTGCTTCTGATTTAATTTTTCCGCATTAGTTTTTATTCCCATTGATTGATTTACTTGTGGGAATCGCATCGATTTTCCCTAACAACTGGTATCAGAGCTTACGGTCTATTTGGATTTATTTATTTGTGTAAATCAATGGAGGGGAATGTGGGTCGTATGTCTAGCTTCAATGAAAGCAATTGGGTAACTTGGAAAACTAAAATGGAGGACCTATTATTTTGTAAAGATTTGTATGGACCCATTGAGGGTGATAGTAGCAAACCCGAGGGTATGAAAGATGATGAATGGAATAGGCTTAATTGAAAAGCCGTTGGTGTTATCCGTCAATGGATTGATGACAGTGTGTTTCATCATGTTGCTACTGAAACTTCAGCACATGATTTATGGAAAAAATTAGAGGGCCTTTATGATAGGAAATCAGCCACAAATAAAAA